TCAGAATGAAACCCATTCCTCCCTGGGATGGAGTTATAGCTCGGTGGTCAGAGGATCTGAGTTCAATCCCCAGCATTCACATAGTGGCTCACAGTCATTCATAACTAAAGTGTTAAGGGATCTAACACCCTCTTGTGCCATATGTGGACACTAAGCACACATGTGGTTCATTTACATAAATACAGGTAAAACACTCATACACATGAAGTATAAATAATAAAACATTTTTCAAAAGAAAAGAATCCCAATACTCTATAAGACAATGGGATGAAGGAAAGAGGGAGGAAAGGGGAAGGGAGGAAAGATACAGAAATGGAGAGAATAAGAAAGTAATACATGGAGAAATAGGGACTGGGGAGTTCCCAAATGAATAAATGACATCAGCCTACAAACCCAGGAAAATTTAAATAGGATCAATAGAAAAGCAACAATAAAAATAAAGACAAATTACAATAAAGAAGTAAGAAAAAAATCTTAAGGAGGAAAGAACCAACCCTCATAGGTTGCTTCCAGAATTTAGGCCATAAACTGTGAAAATGGGCTTCAGACAATCGATGGCCATCAGAACTGTACTGAGGGCAGATTTAAGCAACTTCTATTTCCTCTCATTGTTGAGAAAAATCTGGCAGAAGTGCCACGAACATTAGAAGAACATGTTTAGATCCTGGATTACATCTTGTGGAAAGCTAAACGTACCGTGAACGGCCCAGGTCCAACCATCAGTGAGATGGGCTGTAAACCACAGCAAGCAGACAGTAAAAAAAGGAAAGCAGCCTGGAAGATGCAGGAGGACCTCACTTGGAAGAATGACCAGAAAACATTAGGAAATTGTCCTCAAAGCACCTCAAAACTGATATAAACGGGGGAGAAGATGGGCAGGAAGTTAACAAATGTAGCCTACAGAAGAGTTACACAATCTTCTTGACAACCTAAGACCCCCTTAAGATCCGTTTTACCCCTCACACAATGTTTCCTTAAAACCTATAAATTAGGGGATAGAGAGATAACTCAGTGGTTAAGAGCACTGGCTGCTTTTCCAGAGGACCCAGGTTCAGTTCCCAGCACCCACATGATGACTCACAAGTATCTGTAACTCCTGGGAGCCTAACCATACTATACCAGGCATGGTGTGTTGCGCAGACATACATGTAGGCAAATCATCCATACACATGAATTAATAATATAATTTTAAAAACTAAATCAGGATTAGGAAGCTGACTCCGTGGATTGACCCATCAATATAAAGATGTGAGTTCAAATTCCCATAACTCACAAAAAGTCAGATACCACAGGCATGTCTGCAGTTCAAACAATGTCTGCAGCTCAATAGGAGATGGGGACAGGAGAAGCCCTGCAAGCTTCACCATGCAACTAGCATAGTGGGCACAGAAGCAAAGGAGGGAACCTGCCTCACATGGGATGGGAGATGAGGACCAACACCCAGTGTTGTTCTCTGATCTATGCACATGTGCCATCACACACACACACACACACACACACACACACACACACACACACACACCACTTTTAAACTTAGAAATGCCAAAAAAACAAACTTTACTAAAAATTTAAGTCCTTATCATATAGGAAGAGTTGGAGACAGCCCTTATGAATGGAAAGCTAAAAATCAGAAAGAGGAAAGCATCAGGGGCAGTGAGAACTGGGGTGCCTAACGGGGTTCCAGTGCCTAAAATGGAAACAAGAAGAAGAATAGAAACTTTCTCTGAATAAAGATAGACTAAGATCTGTTACACAAAGACCATAGAACTGTGGTCAAAGAAATGAAACAAACACTCACGTCAGGCCTGATGGTGCAGGCCTGTAGGCATAGCTACTCAGAAAGCTGCAGCAGAAGAATTACAGTTTTAAGATCAGTCTGGGCAACTGATTGATCCTTTGTCTCAAAATTAAAAAGTAAAAAGAGGGCTGTGGATGTAGCTCAGTGGTAGAGAACTTGCCTGGTAAACAGAAACTCTAGATTCCAACCCAGGTTCTGCAATCAGAGACACAAAACCACAAAAATGCTTGATTTTGTCAGTGCCCTCAGTATCAGTTTATTTGTGGATGCTTTTTCTTACATGACTGATACTAAATTTCAATTTTAACTTTGTAGAGGACAGAACTCACCAAACACAAAATGCGATGTAGTCACACAGGTGGGTCATACCCACATTTCCCCAGGATATATAACATATGCACAGAAGAAGGAATAAGATCTGATTAATGTTCATGAAAACTAAACCAGTCCTAGGGGAGGGAATATCCCAGCCAGTGCACAGAAAAAGCAACCAATTTCATACTCGTGGAGTTTTGAAAAAAAAAAAAAAGGCCCCTAAAGGAACTGGCACTTTAGTAGGTGTGGATTTGTTGGAAGAAGTGTGTCACTGTGGAGGCAGACTTTGAGGTTCTTTTTTCTCTAGCTTCACTCAGTGTGACAATCAACTGACTTCCTGTTGCCTTCGAGTCAAAATGTAGGACTCTCAGTTCAAGCACCACATCTTCTTGCATGCTGCCCTGGTCCCCATCCTGATGATAATGCACTGAAGCCCTGAACGTGTAAGTAAGCCAACCCCAATGGAAGGGTTTTCTTTAGAAATGTTGCTTGTGTCATGGAGTCTCTTCACAGCAATAAAAGATCCTAACTAATACACCATTTAATAGGGAGAATGCAAATGAACACACATCTCCGTCACCTCTGCAGTCTCGGGCAGAGAGAGGGGAGACTCCTCATCTCATCTGCTATTGGCAGGAAGAGCATTGACGCTACCTCCTCACAGGCCCTGTGGCAGCATCTACGAGCAAGTGGTCACTGCTGCCCTCTGACTCAGGAACTCCACTCTTGTTTGTTTTAGACACAATGAAGTATCATGAAAGTAAGGAAAATGAATCACATGGCCACTGTCCTTACAGCATGCTGGTGACAGTGAACTTTGGTAGTGACCTTAATGTTCATCAAAAGCAGACTGGTGTAAAACTCACGGTGAGGACTGGCAAGGTGGCTTAGTTAATGAAGGAGTTAGCAACCAAGGCAGATGACTTTGGTTGTATTCCAGAAATCACAAGACAGACGGAAAGAACCAACTCCTCTACATTGTCTCTGACACCAAGACACATGCATACATAAATAATCATAATTGATATTATGAATCTCTTCCTCCATATACAAGCACTCTGAATAGCAGGCAGCTGGTAGAAAAAAAAGAATACAAGAATAAAGCAAATGTACAAACGTTAAGGTGACCACTACGATAAGGTTTCTACTTTTTAAATAACCAAAGGCTCTAAATGCAGAACAATAGTACAAAATGAAAATACTCATAAAATAGTTATGAAAATAAGTTACGCAAGAAAAACAAAGGAAAAGATAAAGAGGCTGGAGAGGTCAGCAGTTAAGAACGCTGGCTGCTCATCCCAAGGGTGGGAGCTCAGTTCCCAGCACCCATGTAAGGCAGCTCAGTACTGTAAGTACAGTGATCTGATACCCTCTTCTGGCCTCCAAAGGCACCTGATCTAATGCCTCTCTCTCTCTCTCTCTCTCTCTCTCTCTCTCTCTCTCTCTCCCTCTCTGTGTGTGTGTGTCTGTCTCTCTGTCACTCTGCTTATCTCTCCCACATGCATGCACATATGCATGCACGCACACATACAGACGCACAGAGTATGTATGTTTTATAACACAAAGAAGAACCAGACATGATGATTGCACCTTTCGTCCCAATACTTGGGAGGCAGAAACAGGTGCATCTCTGTTGGGAGTCTCAGGCCAGCCTGGGCTACATAACAAGTTTCACAACAGCCTACATGGCACAATAAAAAGACAAAGAGAAGCTGTCTAATATGCCTAACATTTCTAATATGGCTGAACCCAAGACTAGGAACTGTGGGGAGTGTGTATGGATGACAGTTAAAATGGTTTTATCCTTTCTATATTTCCACAAAGTTTGAAAGTTTATAAACCACATTCGATTATAAAACAGGCCTGTTGGTGCAGTCCTGAAACCCCAGTCACTGAAAAGACCCAAACAACAGACAGGATCACAAGTTCAAGGCCAGAGTGGGCTGTAGAATGAGTTCAAAGCCATCCTGAGAGACACAGCAAAACCCCAATTCTAAAGTCTTTAAAATAGGTAGAAATATATGGTCATGCCTACTCAAGGCCCTAGGTTCAATGACAGTAATGGAAATTTATTACTTCCTGTGCAGTAGCAAACACCCTGACGGGCACTGTTTCTGAGGAGAACATCTGATCACCACTGTGGAGCAGACAGAGGTCGACCATTTCCTTGTCAGAGGAGTCACCCTCCTAGGACAGGACGCTGACATGAAAATAAAAACGTGCAGCTTGCCATGGCTGCAGCTAGCAAGGGCCTATTTTTTTTCCTTCTTGCTTCAAATCTGACAGGGAGAGCTCAGACCAGGAGTGAGCCTGGGACATCTTCCTAGGTGACAAGTCCTGCCAGAAAGGTAGGAGACCAGTACAGAGGGGACCCAGTTGCTGACCCTGAGACTCTGCTATTTGAATTTTCTCCCTGAGGTGACTTAGTGAAAGCAGAGAGAGGCAGAGGGACTGAGAACACTCAGATTTCATGAGATAACAGCAGAGCCATGTCACAGAGGTCGCCAGGAGTCCCTGACAGGTGTGACCAGAGTCTCCTTCTGACAGCTGACAGTGTTGCACACAAGAACGTTATGACTGTGGGTGATGACAAGCTGGCCTCGTCAGCAGATATCGTACTCAGTTTTAAAAGCTCAGAGTGTTTTCTCTCTCTGTCTCTGTTTGTCTGTCTCTGATTCTGTCTCTCTGTGTCTCTGTCATTCTCTGACTGTCTCTCCATCTCCATCTCTTTCTCCCCTCTTCCTCTCTCTTGTCTCTCCTCTCTAACTACAGTGCAAAGCTTCTTCACGTCCAGGGCTTTGGGCTGACTGAAGCTGCAGCCACTTAATCAAGACATGAAATCGCCCAAGCTGTCAGAGGGCAAAGTTACAGAGGGCGAAAGACTCACCTGTTGCTGAAGCTGCCACCTTCTGTCTCTCAACTCCTGCCAGGGTCATGTGAGGATGAGCTCTAATCCTTGGTCTTCTCACAGGCTTCCAGACCCTGAACTGTGACCCATAGCTGAGAGCAGGAAGTCAGCCTGAACTCTAACTCAGTGGAGAGGGCTCCGCCCAAATGAGGAAAAGAGAACCGAAAGTATTTCTCTAATCTTAAATGTGCTTCTCTGAAATACTGTCTCTTCCTTCTTTCCTTAAATGTGGTGGCAGGAGGGGGAAAAAGGGGAAGCCAGAGGATTAGTGGATTGCAAAGGGGCACAGCAAGGACTCACAGGGCCAATTCCCAGGAGTGCCTTAGTTATGCAAAGATGGAAAAACACAGCAACCCCAAAGCAACAACAACAAAATTTCCCTATAATACCAACTGTTCTCAGTCACCCCTGTGTCTAGGGAGAAGATTTACCAAGAGTTGGCTGTGATCCCTTTCTTGTCTTAGTCCTGGCTAAATTGGCTTGAGCAGAAGAGTATTTGTGTTGGAGAGAGATGGGGAAGGACGGCCAAACACTTTCAAGTTATCTCTCGGGTTAGCAGCAGAATCCAGAGCTGGATCCTGACCAAGAGAAGCTTTCCCTCAGACCTCAATGAAAGTGGAGCTGTAGGGGGAGGTCCCTCAGCTTGACAGACACTCTTCATCAGAGCACTGACTGAGGAGTTGTCATTCCAGCTAGAACTCAAGGGTGGGAGAAAACTGCCACAGTGGCCATCAGGGCCTAAGGACAAAGAACTTGTCCACCCTTCTGAGATGTAGACCTGGAGAGAGATGGGCAGACACCTCCAGAGAGTCCTTCCAGGAACCCCCTCAGTGATCACCAGGATACACAAGGTTCCTCTCTGTTGCTCCCTCTGGAAGACTCTCTGAGGAACCAGGGGACTGGGTGAGCCTGTGTCCTGTCAGGTCTCCAGCAGTCTTCTTGCCTGCGCAGACCAGGATTCTGTTCTCATCCTTAGCTCAAATGCACAGGGACAGGGCTGGAGCGGGGCTGACTGACAGCAGCAGCCTGAGGCCAGGCCTGAGGTCAGATTTCAGGGCTCCTTTCACTGTCTCACATGTTATCCAGGTCTCCAATTCTGCTTCTATCAGGAATAAAACTTTTAAAATGACTTTATTTGATTTTAAATCATGTATGTGTGTTTCTGTATGGGGTATACACACATGAGCGCATGTGGCTAATGATGTAAGAAGACCATGTGGGATCCCTGGACCTGGAGTCAGAGGCAGCTGTGCCACCAGATGTAGGTGCTGGGAACCAGACCCTGGTCCTCTAAAAAAATTAGAAAGCTCTTAACAGCTGATCCATCTCTAGCCCCAGACAGTATTTTGATCCTAAACATGTCTCTTCACGTTTCCTATGTGTCAGATGGTCTAGGACCAAGGTTGGAGAAAATGATAAACTTGGGGTTATGAGGCCCTAAACTTGTTTAAGCCTAAGCCTAAGCATGCGTCTTTCCTCAAGTTCACTTCTACCTGAGAACCAGGTGAGGAGAGGCCGGAAGCTGTACTGTGATGCTCTTTTACTCTTTTGGCTCTTTGAGGGGTTTGCCAGCCAGCTCCAAAATAAATCACACATGGAGGCTTATTTTTAGTTATTGATGCTTGTCCATGGCTTGGCTTGTTGCTTGTCAGTTTTAACTTTATTTGTCCCATCTACTTTTTGTCTCTGGGCTTTTCCTGTTCTCTTCTTTTTATCTTACTTCCCTTCTTACTCCGTGACTGCCTATGTGGCTGGGTGTCTAGCCCCTGCTCTCTTCTCTCTTTCCCCTTCCTTTCCTCTCCTTTCTCCTCCTATTTATACCCTCTGTCCCTTCCTATCCCTGCTCCTGTCTTGCTATTGGCCATTCAGCTTTTTATTAGGACAATCAGGTGCTTTCGACAGGCACAGTAACACAACTTCACAGAGTTAAACAAATGCAGCATAAACAAAAGTCACACACTTAAAAAGAATATTCCCCAAAAGGAAGTCCTGGGCAATTCCATCATCATTATGCAATTATTCTCAGGGCCCGGTGGGCACTGGGTAGGAACATCTGAGCTCTTAGAGACTGTGTTGAGACTGAGCCAATTCACTTAACAGCCTGACCTCTGCCTAGAACCTCCCGGAGTAAGGTAAGGTTTGTCAAACTTTGGCTGTCACAGACTTTGAACTGTGTGAGATGCTGGGGAGATAGAGGAGGAAGCATGAATAGTTCCAGGTGGAAGTGTGAAGGGAAAGAGATCTCAAGGCAGTGAAGGAGAAAGTCAAGGACAGGGGCACACAGGAGGTCCACCTGCCATCTTCTGAAACCTGAGGTCCTTCCATGAGAAACACGGTTGAAGAAACCCAGGGTCCTGATAATGCTCAGGAGAAGGTGGGATGCTGGTCCAGGTTCTCATGTCCGGGGAGTCCCTACCTCTAGTCTGCATCATCTCCCATAGCCCTTCAGTTCAGCTTCTGTGTCATCAAGTGGACAAGGACAGAGATTCCCTGTGTCCTGGGTACAGATGGGAGACCCAGAGATTATGCAGACCAATTACATCACAGATGCCTTTCCTTTACATCCCGTGCCACAGAGGCTGGTCATGTGCACAGCACACAACAAGGAAAGAGCTGGTGAACTCCCTTCTCCCCTTCCTCTTTTTTCTTCATTATTATTTTATTTACCTTTTTCATTTCTGTGCATTGGTGTTTGCCAGCACTTATATCTGTATGAAAGTGTCAGATCCATTGGAACTGGAGTTACAGTCAGTTGTGAGCTGCCATGTGGGTACTGGGTATTGAACCCCGGTCCTCTGGAAGATCACACAGTGTTCCTACCAAGTGATTCATCATCACTGTCCTAACTACTGAGCCATCATCACTGTTCTAACTACTGAGCCATCATCACTATCCTAACCACTGAGCCATCATCACTATCAGAGGGCAGTAGCCACTTTCTGGATAGAGTGGGTTCCAGCAAGCTCTACACCACCCCCTAATGGTTGTTACAAGTTGTAGGCTCTTTAGACTTGGATTCTACTGCCAATGATGGGAACCTAAAATCCTTTTCACAAGCTATGGAAACACTTGGGACTCTTGATAGATGTTCTGAGTTATTGCATAATCTTAATATTTGACAATCCATGAGCATAAATGAGCTTTTTGCCTATACAGAAACTCTTGGTTCAAATTGTCAGGGAGTTACAGTGAAACTGGCTCATCCACACCTCCTGGAAAATCCATCTTCCTTCCCAGAGAGCTACATTCAACTTGTGAGCACCAGGGAGGCCCTATCACACTAGAAGTCAAGTCATTTTGTTCCTCACCCTGAGGTCTTATGGTGGTGACCTAGAGTCTCCTCTAAGCACATAGTTCTCACTGGATCATAATTTAAAACACTTCAGAGTATTAAACAGTTTCAACAATAGATATGGTGACATTTGAAGAGAAAAATTAGATGTAAAGAAGTGTTTCACATGAGACCATCAGAAAGTACTCTGAATCTCTACTTCAATACACTCCTGTCTCCCTTTGGGTGATCTTACCGTCCTCTTTCCCCTGGAGTCCACACAGTTCTCTCCGAAGAGAATAGAAACGCAAAGAGAATGGAGACATTTTACTGATAGTCTTTGGCTCCCTCATCTATGAACCCTCCTAGAGGATATCCTTCCCCTGAAGTGTTGAGCCGTGCTGAATGAAGGACCTTGGGTATCCATGGTAGCTTCCATGCTAAGCTGTAGTGACAACAGTCAGATGGACTTCTAAACAGAACACCTGGACATCAGCCAGGCCCTTGACTTTCTCTTTCTGAAACAACTTCTTCATTCTCATGAGATTCTGTTTGTTCTGGGTTTTGTTTGTTTGTTTGTTTTATGCTTTTTGTTTTTCCAGATTCTACATGCTAGAAAATCTAATAACGAAGTTCAGACTGTCCCAAACAAGACTGTGACTGTTCTCAAAATCAGGCAATAGGAAGCAGGAGGTTGATTCTTGGTCAGCCGACTCAAGTTCTGACCTTTCTCCCCAATCCAGTCTGAGTTCTTCCTTCTGCAGAGGTCTCAGACTGTTTGGGTTTTCACATAGCATTCAAAATCACTACCCAAGTAACAGACTATTCTCAAGTGCCTCTTCAGGAACAAGAAACCAAGCTTCCTTATTCCTCACTGAACACAGCATAGGAATCCTCATTATTCCCACACTCAGCCTGGTTCTGGAGATCAGACAAAGCCCTCTGAGCTGCTTTACCCACTCAGGAGACACAAGTGCCCTACCCAGCAGCAGCAGCAGACATGAAGCGTGCCTTTAGGAGGTGAGACACAGCTCAGAACCGCACACTCTTGTGCTTGCACACTCACAGGAATGCATCAGGTTCGGTAAAGTAGGGAACACACCTCTGGAAAAGTCACAGATGGCTCTAGACTTTGAACTGGAGTTAGTACGTGCCATCTTTACAAAAGTGATGTAGATGTTCTGCAAAGCCTGAGAATTCCTCTTCTTTGCTGAAGGAGATGGAGTGATAGCATCAGTCTGGTCCTTGTTTGAGACACTTACTAAGTAGTCTTCACTTTCCAAGGGATTCAGGTTACAGTCATTGTTAGGGTCCTAGAGAAGTCCCACAAAAAATGCCCACCATCCATGTAAGCAATCGGCAAGAGCATTTATTATCTCTAGAGTAAGAGTTCTAGCATGTCGGGGCCACATATCTGACACAAAAACTGACAACCTCAAGAGTAGCTCAAGGCTCCTTTTATACACAGCTAAAGGAATTCTAAAGCAGTTAGGTCATCCTATCTGGGATTGGCCTATGTGCATGACAATCATATTAGTACATTGTTAATTGGTAAGAACTAGCAGGGGCTGCCTAGGGCTTTATTTTTCCATTTTTGGGCAATCTGGACAAGTCCCCCTTATGTGGTTATTGCCTTGAGATACTGGGGGGGGGGGGAAGGGCTGGGTCAAGCCTGGTATGGTCTATCTGCTTGTCCTTATTGTTGGGGGCATTGGTGATTGATTGCCCTTTGTTCATGGCTTGCTCAGAAACTGTTTGTTCAGTTTCAAGAGGCAGGAACTGAGCTCCAGTTCTAAACTGATTTATTAG